ATAAGTGGACTTGGATTAATCATTTTTCCATGAAAAATGTTCTGAAATATCCATCATTATGTGTGAAAATTTTAGGGTGAACGGTCATGGGAAATCTGACAAAGAATTTATCTTTATAGTTAGGAGCTACAGATGCAAATGCAGTACTTTGAAAAATTATGCGCTTTCGATCTCAGAATTTCTTAAGCCTTTGCTATGAGCTTCATAACCTAAAATTTCTTTCATAGCTCTTAAAGACTTGGACTTTTTGTTATTGCCAATGCTCTTGGTAAAAAATTTCAAGAGTAGGTAAGGGTGAATGTTGTGAGCGAAGAAATTCTTGCACACAAATAGTCTCAGTGGCGATTTTCCAAACTGAGATCTTGGCATCACGAGCATAAGTGTCGGTTTTTATCCCTCATCACCTTTATATTTTATTTACAAAATTTTATTCGAGTCAATCGACCAAACCTAACGCTCTAACAAAGAGGGTGCAAAGGGGAGGGGGGGGGAACTCTGATTCCGTTTCGCGCATAAGTCTTTCAGAACAATTCACTTTTCATGTGTACTTTAAACAGCATATTACGCGTCACGAATTTAAAAGGGAAAACTTCAAACCTCAATGTACTCTGCCTTTCTTTAAAATTCAAATGTCACATTAATTTTGGGCTTAACCATGGGTCATTTAAAGAGCCTCCCCCTTCCACCCTCGAGTAGAAGTCACGACGCTACTTACAGCTACGTGAGAGGAATATAAAGACCAACCTTCAATTACAACCAAAACAAAGAGCGAACCCATTTAGTACTGTAAATAAACATCTGCCGGAAATGTTATCGCTGAACAGAACTATATCAATCATTAAAAAACACACAGAATTAAATACTGCAGGTAAGAAAATATTGCCTCTATTTTGCAAAGCAATATCAGCGCGTACCACATGACCTGTTTAACGGGGAAGTTATGGAACCCCTATACAGAAACCATTCTCCTTAAAGAAATTTTTGTTAAGTCACGCAGATTTATAAGCGCTGTTTTAGAAATTGTAAATAGAGAATTTCGTCTATTTATTTTTTCTAAGTTATAAAACCCAAATATCTATTATTTACTTCCTACTTACCACTGTTACTTATAATTCAATATTTAACTTCCTCTTACGATCATATGAATCAGTAGGACACACTTGTGGAAACGACAGGGGTGAATCTGTTGGGAATTTTTTCAGTAGTTTGTGAGAATTGGCTTTGACGGTCAAAAGGAGAGTTTTCTTTTGGGGATCTTTTGAAGGATTAGAAAAACAGCAAATGAAATTGCCTTTAAGAGAATTAACCAATTCAGAAGTAACTTTTGCCGTCTGCGTTTTTCGTATGTGGTTGTTAATCTATCGACAAAGGAAGTTAAACGAGGGAATTGTCAGAGTTTCATGAAGGATTAGATCTTTCTGTGTAACAAACATCCAATCTAGCCGTGTACAACCCATTTGATTAGATGCGGCCGAAGAGCGGGTCGAATACACCAAATTAGAAAGACTGAGTCGAATACACCAAAATGAGGGTTACCAGGCAAGAGCAAGCTCTCCGAAAGATGTAATGTGAAAGAAAATATGCTTTTTTCAATAACAGAAAAACAATACTGGCATACAAAACAAAGGAAACAAATCAAAGTCCGATGATTGACTTCTTTATATTTCAGTTATTTTAATCGGGACTTTTTCCAGCAGCACTTGACTGAAATTTCCGACTCAATTTTTTTCTCACGTCCGCACATCATCAAGGGTGAGCTTGGTGGAAATGATTACAACTCTGTGTGTCAAGCATCAAAGGACATCGATTTTTTTTTATTAACGTCTTATTTTATCGATGTTTCTTACATGGATTTTACACAGAATCAGGTCCAGAGTTACAGAAACAATTTGCCTGAAAAGGGCAAAATTTTAAAACAAAGCTGTTCTCTCTGTTATAAGTTACCTCTTTTGTTCTCGACAGCTATGTAAATATAACTTAACAACACAAAAAAAAAAATTTCCCGCTGCAGTGTGAAGTCAATATTTCTCCGTTTTCAGAACTCCTTCAGTTTGCTTTTTATTCTTTTCAATTTCAAAGCCCCTCTAAAACGGTCTGATTTGAAAAACGAAATGTTTTCCAACATAAAACCATGGCAAAATCGAAAGACTGTTCTAATAGTGAGGTAAAACATGCCAGAAGCTTAAATTGAGAAGTCATTACTTTAAATTGTAATTAAAGTTTTGCTGAATTATGATCGTGCCCTGAGAGAAACCTTAATTAAAAATGACTGTACGATTTAATTTGGCGAGGACTGCGAAGTGACTGCGATGTGAATTTGTTATTACTTACTTTTCTCAAGAAAAACAGGGTACATGAGGAAGAAGATATTTTTCATCTTGGCAATAGAAGCAGTTAGTGTAAGTTTCGTCACTAAAAATGAACTAACCCAAAAATACCTTGCATTAAAAAGCTAATAATGTCCATTTTTTTTAAGAAGCAGCGGGTGTATTTTTGTAACTAAAAATGAACTAATCTCCAAAATACCTTGCATCAAAAAGCTCCTGATTTTCATTTCAGTGTCAGGTCCTCTGCAGGACGCGCAAAAATGTGAGAATATACGATCAGCATTGTATTACACTGTTCAAAAGAACTAAAACATAGAAAAAATATACCCGCTTGTTCGAATAAATTAAGTTTTAATGTTCAAGCTTTTAGGCAAAAATTGTTCCAATTATAATTTTTACAGTGCTTTATTTAACTTAAGTCCAAACCACACACAATGTACTTATGAAGTAAATAAATTAAGGCCACCGTAAAACCAGTGTCGTCGAAACAAGTTTACAACAGTGTTTTTGACTTGACCTATTTAAAGGTTAGTAGATGAAACTCTCAGGAAAGAATAGAGAATTCCTTTTTCTTTATTAACTGACAACTGTTTGTAATGAAAAATGCCCTTCTATGTTTTTTTTTTCTGGCGATAGAAAAGCCGTGGCCCATAATTGATTGTCATTTTGTCGGTTTTATGCGAGGTAAGTCATCCTAGTGTACATTCCGTGTGATAAAATTCTGACGCTTGCTCGTGCAGGTTTAGTTATTATCTGTTGGTCCACGGTTCAGAACCTCGCAACACACACTTATAAGGACATTTAATGATGTCAATTTGAAGCTTGGGGGCAGGATCCCTCTATGGCGAACCGTTCAGAGGATTGGCGAACGAAAAAGAAAAACGAAAATTAGCAAGAGGAGCGAGCTGATTGCTGAGTGATCGTCATCAAAACGACAAGTAGTGCAGACTTATCTTGTTTTAGCTCGCCACCTCATTGCATATCGAGCCAAAAAATGGCCAGAGTTTGCAAGCAAGATAAATTATATTGAAACTCCTTACTCGGGGCGATTGAATTAGGCTTCTATCATTTAATCACCTCTGCAAACATAAACAAATGGTCGTGGAAAACAATCGTTCTCAGTGAACGAAGACTCATATTCGATGCTCATGATCCAATCTCCATTGATAAATTACTCCGGCATAGCTCCTGTCTCCAAAATATAGTATCTTTAGGGCGAGCGGGGATGCCACCCATGATATTTTGTTTTGATGCTGTCTTAGTAACAGAGTATATCGACCCGGTTTTAACTATGTCTTTCCCTGTTAGGGTAAAATGGTTGATAATTTGTCCATAACAAAAAATTCTTATTTTTGGGGCTTGAATATTGAAACGATATTTTGGGGAAACCATCATTTGATAGTTATGAACGAGATCCAAAATTCTCGTAACTGAAAATGTCGTAACTAATCCAGCTTTTAGCGATACCGACCATTTGTCAATTATAAGCAGAAGTAGACATTTTTTTTTGCATTTTCCGTAACCACCAACAATTAATGTAGGGAAGTTTGCTTCCGTTCAATTTTAAAAAGTGAGAGGGTTCTGTAAAGGTATGTTGTTGTTTTTCAGGTCAGTCGGCACAGTTATATGTGTAAAATTGCGTTTCTGTAATCGAAAATACTTCTCGCTAATCAAATAAGATAATACTGGCCGAATTCTTTTAGCTTCATCTCAGCCAGATATTTTGATTATTTTTCGGAGTACACTCAATAAGATTTTATCGTTATCAGTTCTAAGTTGAAGAAGTCCATGTTCAAGATGGGAGGCTGGAGATTGTTTTGAAGTTTAAATACAATTTCAGGTCTGTTAACCAAGACACTTACGAGTCTTGGGCTTAGCGCAGTTCTTGTTGAAACTTTTTCAAAAATTGCACGAGGTTTTTCCTTTTGGGGTATAGAAGTATAGTATTTGGGGTATAGGCCATAAAATGGCCTTATCCGCATTTTTTAAGAGTTTTGTATCTCTAGATCCTTTAAGTAAACGAGATTTCATGCCCTTGCATACTAATTAAGATCTTCGACGCAAATTCATTTAATTTTCTTCTGTGTGGGCTACAAATGAATAATTATTTTTTACGCAAACCAAGCAAAAAATAGTTGTTTTTTTTTAAAGATGATCTAAGGTGGTCGCTCGGTGTTTTGAAATTAATCTTGTTTTCCTTTACAGACCTAGAAAGAACGTCAAGCTTAAGTTCTGTTTAGCAGGTAGGGGAGAGGAGCAATGTACAGAAAGCTTGTAAACAGCAAAAATGTGCAAACATCTTGCTCTTTATGAAGGGTCACAGCAGAACGTAAATATCATCGACCATGCATTTTGGTGACTGCTTTGATAATTTAGACATATTTGGTATCAGAAGTTGTTGCTATGGGTAACTGCACGTACATTAGCTCTCGAAGTGCAAATCATGTCGTACCTTCTGTGATTCTTAGTTAAATAAAAGGAAAGTCTTTGAAGGTAAAATAAACATCTTCTACTACAAATTAAGTCAAGGAAAAGGGGAGTGATTCGTTTTGAGTAAATCGCCTCCGAGAGATGAATACATCAATATGACCAGTAATGTCAGTGTTAATTTCATGACCTTCTAGTTTAAAAAAGTGTTGGAGAAATAACCCATTAATTTATGTCTTCCACCTAGTTTAACTTGGCACTGTTGATTCAAAATGAAAGCAATTGATGGATTTCTCCCATGGCTGCTTCTTCATCTTATCTATAACAAAGGTATAGTTCTTGTTATGTTTTTCAAATCATGAATAGTCTAACGAGAAATATTTTTTAAGCATACCCTTTCTTGAACACAAGCCGCCAAAAAAAATGACATTTTGCTGACAAATAATAATAACTGTAAGTGCATAGTGCTTGATGCCATGATTTGCTTTCGTTTTTTTCTCACAATTTCAACCATAATACAATAACCCTCAATACATTTGGAAGACATGTGATGCTATTCCTTTTTTTAATTTTTTAGCTTTTCCTTCGCCAAGCCTATTAGTCATTGCGTTAAAGAAGGATTTTTCATCGATTTGTGCCAGACCTTTATTTCAATTTAATTTTTCAAGCTGTTCAGAACTCTCGTATCTGCTCTTTGCTATACCGAGTATACCTCATGTTACCTGGAGCCAAAGATTTTGGAACCTTTTTTTTTACTGCATAAACTTCTTCTCGAAAATGCACAACAAAGATTGTAAATTTCGTCGGTGTGGAGTTCGACAATATCAGTTATAGGTGCTAAATTAAAAGCTCGAAAACTGCGATTGCCGTCGTGAAAATTTACATTATAAAATGTCTTTCCTTCTCTTGACCAATCCTGTACATGAAGTCATTAACTGAAGCGAGAACCATTCAGCACTACTAATGGGTACTAGCTATCAATTTTTCGTTTACAACTTGATATCCTAGTAAACTGTAATATGATATCTAAAAAGGCAGTGAAACTCAGACTTTTTGCGCTTCAAAGCGCCCGTTTTTAAACACGTTCTAGGTTTTTGACAAAGCATAGTAATGTAAGGGCGTGCAATACTCTAACACTGGCCTAACGCAGATAAGATAGGAGCAGATGAGAGAACAAATCACTAAATGAAACAGTAAGGATCAAAATGCACCAATCAGAGCTGTTAAAAAACAACTAATCACAGCAGAGCATCATGCTTTATAAGATCACGCATGACCTGTCGAAACGTCGCAATCTACATCACACGTGACTACATCGTGAGACAAACGGAAAACTTAGCTTTTATTGTTATTCACCACGATGAAGAAGACTAGCAGTATGCAATCGAAACATCGCGATCTACATCACACGTGACTACATGGTAGGAGAAACGGAAAACTTAGCCTTTAATAATAGTCTAACTCCATAAGAATTAAAAATCTGTCTTGTTCATAGTTTTGACAACTACCCTCTCGTCAACGATAGAGACTGAGCCTTCAGAGTCGTTTCCGACATATTCTACTGAATCTACCACTCTATCTACACAAACATTTCCACCAGCATCCGGATCCTGTCATGTATTCTTTGATGGGGAGAAAGAAGGCACTTTCGAAGATAAAATTACCATGTCATCATTTGACGGACCATTTATGATTAATACACCGACTAAAGCGCCGACGCAGTATACCACAGCTATTACAGTCAACACAGCCACAGGCACACCTGCAATTGCGAGAGCAACTGATCCCACAGTTACACCCATAATCACACCCATAACGACGCCCTTAAGCACACCCATAACCACACCCTTAACCACACCTATGACCACACCCTTAACCACACCTATGACCACACCCAAAACCTCACCAACAGGTTCACCCACCACTTGTGTTGAATATAAGCAGTGGAAAATCACTGTTCGGACAGGAAACTATATAGAGATGACTATCAAGAAAATGAATCTTCGACCATGGGCTTGTTTGTTTGAGACATATGTCATTGTCAGAGATGGACATTCTTTGTCCGACAATATCCTCGCGATTCTTTGTGAAGCGAGCACTACACCTCACCGCCTAGCGTCTAGTGGCGATAAAATGATTGTGGAGAGATATGGAAAATTGGGATCTAGCGAAAGTACTGGGTTTGAAGCCAGCTTTGAGGCAAAACCTTTAAAAACTGGAGGTTAGTGTATGTTTGGTTTATTTAGAGTTTTAGCGTCACTTTACAATCTAGTTAAACGACAATGAACCTTGAGATGGAAGTTTCAAAGGCGGCGTGAATTGATTATTTCACTTGTATCTTTTTCGACAGATCCTCCTAGCTTTCGGGTATCTGAGGAAAGTGTAACTTTGCTGGAGTGTTATTCTCAAAGCTTGCTTTGCCAAGCGGGCGGTACACCTACTCCCAGAATTACGTGGTCTAAAAGTGGAAGAGTTTTACAAAATAGTACAAGTGTAATTTATACACCAAGCTGTTATTCGAAATCAGGAAATTACACCTGCAGAGCAAGTAATTTTAACGGCTCGGATACGAAAACTCTTCTAGTTCACACCGAGAGTGAGTATATGTTGTTGTTATTTAACGCGCAATGTGAGCAAAAGGGGCTAGTTGTGCGCTAGACAAAATAAAATTTGTCAATACATAAGATTAACTCCGCCACCCCCTCCCCCACATACACACCCCAAATTAAACCACTCCAAGAGCGTTGATAGGATATGTGAGGGAAGTGATAAGAGAAAAATGCTTGAGATTAAAATCGTGCTGCAAATAATCATTGCTGATCCCGGAATCTTCAAATTTTATGAAGCAGCATATCCAATCTATAGACGCGGATTAGCATTGCCCTCCTCGGCCACTAGGAAACCAAAATACCAGTTCCACCAAATATATAATTTTTTAAAGGAAATATAAACATTTCATGGAAAGTATTTCCGTGTGATATTTACGCACGAGTTGGTAGTGTCGGAGGTCGAACGAGTGAGCGCAGCGAACAAATGAGATTTCTGATACAAACCGACGAGAGAAATATTTTCAAGTAAACAGCCAAAATCGGCCTGTGGCAAATCTTCCAGTTTTCAATTTTCGTTCTTAACCGCGAGAAATGCCGTTATCAAAGCCACTGAATAAGTAAATTTCAGTGTTTCTTTTCGGATTTTTCTTCTCCCTCTAGGAAATTTATATCCTAGAAAACTGAGAGACGTGTCAGCAGCTTATTGGCGATATCAAACACAAGCGAAAAAACCATCGTATTTTTTTCCCCGCGCGTTGTTATGGCTTTTCTCAAGGCCGAAAATCTTTTTACAACACCGCAGTTTGTATGATAAATGAAAAACCCTTCCTATTAAAGCGAGTAATATCTCCCTGTCACATTGCCTAGGGGATTGCAATAACCTTTGGAATGTTGCTCTCACCACCTTTTTGCTTTTCCTTCGCAGGGTGCTCTCATCTTTGCAGGTGTCGCAAACTGAAATCACATCCATTCTGGTTTCGAGTTGACTGTTGGGTTTACTACGAAAGAACAGTTCCGAGGGACATTCCTCTCGCCACAAAATATTTGTAAGTTTGAAATAATTATTTCAGTTGTATCATAAAGTGTACTCCAAAATGTGAAGGCCAAGTGTCATTTCACAGTGTTTTTCGATTCCACGTTTTTCATAATTGTCATTTTTTTCATTTAATTCTAGGTTTTTTACTCGTGCCTATTTGAGGCATATTTATCCAAAGTCATTTGAAAACTTAACTTACCTGCAGTACTTGTAAGTATAACCTGATTGAATTCAAATACGATCTCAGTCAAATTATTTACATTTTAGTTACTCATTAAAAAAAGGATGAATAAATATCCGCAACAACTAATGATAGTAAATATTATGATTTCTTGAAGTGTGCGTTTATCCTTCTATTGTCACAGATCGATTACGCATAATTTTAATCTGTTGAATTTGACGAGAAATGCGTTCGGAGGACTTAAGCAACTCAAGTACTTGTAAGTAGAAGAACTAAAAGGGTTATTGCAACAACAACGATTTTTGGTTGAAGTAGCATCAGTGGCAGTAATGAGTCGCAGTAAGAAGGAGTAATTGCAAATATTTATGAAGCATCGTAATCTGTAAATTATTATTATAATTTAAAATGAAGAAAGTAGTATTAGAATTTTAATATACGTCGTCGACCAAGCGCCAGGTCGACTTTTCCGAGTTCTTTTTAGGCATTTTTATGTACCAAGACGAAGCCGTGGTTCATTATAAGGCACAAAAAAAAAATGAACAAGGGTAATATCCAGCTATCTTGACCGACCAAGCTTGCTCAATAAAAATTTTTCATACAATAAAAAAATTCCTTCCATTACGAATCAAAAAATGATTGTCTTCTGCCTCTTTTGCGACTCCATCACTAGCACTGTCCAAAAATTACGAAATTTGTAAGTTGGCTTTACGAAATGTTTTCTATGCGTGGGATCAAAGCGGAGAGATCCCGAGCAGAAGAGATGGGCTTATCTCACCCGCTCGAGTAGCCGATCAGAACACAGGATTCGCCTCATGTTGCCCACGCGCGCTTCCAGTGATGTAGTTAATATGGTTATTAGAATCGTTTTGATTGTTGCCATCGTAATAATATAATCCATGTTTGCAATTAAAAAAGAGCGATGTTATATAATTATAGAAGTGGGGAAAAAAAGGAGATTTTGCAGCCGCTCGACAGTATCTCCGTTGTTAGGTTATACCAATCTGTTATCACACGAGCCCATGCAAATTCTACTTTACTCTTTGATTGTGGGTTATGCTAACGTTTGATTGTTTTTTGAAATACAGGGAAATTAGCCATCATTATTTGTTGGATATCGAAGAGGGAACTTTTAATGATCTGACATCTTTAGAGTTTCTGTAAGTATCCTTTACACCCCCCCCCCTTCTTCCCCACCCCTTTCCCCCCCTTCCCCTCTTGGGCATGAGTGGATCATCAAAAATTCCAACCCAATTGGGTAAGAACATACCGCCCACCCTCGTATCCCAAAGACATAACTCGTGATATTAACGTGTAAGTATCTTTGGAAAGTGTTATTATCCTAATGTTCGCACCATCGTGTCTTGCGTACAATGATCTGTTGTAATGAGATAATATGAAATTCTCTGAATGATATTTGCCGTGATGGTGGTTTTGATAACAAATAGATTTTTTGGAACCTTTGTTAGTATTTTAGCTTTCTTTATTTTCAAAGGGCATATCATTATCTTCCAGCTTTCTGGAAAGCAATGGGATAAGTTTCTTACGACCGAACGTCTTTACTGGTCTTTTGTCTCTTCGAGAACTGTAAGTACATATTACCAAGAGATTCGTCGCGCCTTTATTCGTTACTGGGGCAGTAGCTCTGCCCTTCGCTGATGGATGGCGGGCTTAGTTCTTTTCTTCTTTTCAATGCGTTTCAAAAAGCCTTCTTCAAATTTGAAGTGAGTAAATTATGCTAACATTCCAGTGCATGAAAGATTGACGACAGGAATTGTTATAATTCGAGTTAAAAGAACTTTATATTTGGGTAACGACCACAATAAACTCGCCCTCAGACGACAGCAGGGACTAACATAAATTGTGAGTTACAATATAGGTGAAGGGGGGGGGGGGGGTTCACTAACAATATTATAACATTTGTAAATAAATCCGGCACTGAAATAACACGGATAATGATAGTGATAGCAAAAACCCTAAAGTTGATGGTGGCAGCAACGGCGATGATAATTAATATTTCGTTTTGTTGCTGTGACAAAGATCAAGAGTCCTCAAATGATAAGAATGGTCGTCTGTGAGGCCTCAATTTTTCCAAAAAATACCATTACTAATAGGATAAAATAACTGAAATAATATACTAAGAATAAGTTACTAATAGGTGATTAACCTTATCATTCTCTTCAGGTATTTAACCAACAACTACCTGAAGGAAATTTCAATGGAAATATACACGCTAGAAAAACTGTAAGAGGCAAAATGGAAATCTTTTTCGTTAAGCCCAACCTGAAGCAATGCTTTAAGTGGTTACCTTTAAGACTAGATAGGGCAAATGAAATTCAATAACATTTAGTTCTTTGGTGATTTTGTTAACGAAAGAATAATTTCCCATGTATCACAATTAACTTGTATGATGTGTAGTCTGATTTCTTTTACGTTTCCACGTCTTTTTGCTTTTTGGCTGATGAAATTGCCACTCATTGGTTTCTTTCTTCCATACGTAACTAAAACGTAACCTCACAATTGTTGTTGAACCCATCATATTTACAGGAATCTTTCATTCAATCAATTATCAAACCTGGATGAAAAAAGTTTTCGTGGTACAAGAAACTTTACAAAAGTTATGTAAGTAGCGGACTTATATCGTGATCATGATCAATAATGATCAAGTATCCTATTCTATCTTATAAGTATCACGTATCCTATCCTATCCAAGAAATCATAATTTACAAAAGTAGAGCATCACAGAAAGTCGAGGCAAACAAAAATTTTGACAACGCGCGCGTTATTTGTAATAGTCCATTTTAAAGTTGCGTGCTTGGTTGCTAAGCCTCTGAACAGGAGTGAGGCAAAGGTTGACCTTGTTATGGTACAAACCTAGCTGCTTTTCAAATGCGAATTACTTTCTTATCATGCTAACTAAATAATGGCCTCTATCACAACAAGGTCACCTTTAGTCTCACTCCAAATCAAAGGCTAAGCAACTCAGCACACAGCTGCAAAATGGCCTATTTACACTTGTGTTACAACTTTGCACTCGTGTTAGTATAGGTAGTACCATGATTTCGAGTGCACTGTGGTGTTAATAAGCACAAGTAGATTGCACGAGCCTTAGCACTTGAAAAATGTTCAGGTGCTTATTACACCAAATTGCAAGAGAAATCACGCTATTACTTGATAACAATTTACATGAAACTAACACCATAGAAAGGCAGGACAGACGAAACTTTGAAACCGTGCGCACCATTTGTAATTTTTACTCGTGTTACAACCTTGTACTCGTGTTACATGAGAATATACTCGTTTTCAGCCAATCAGAAGCGTATAAATTTTCCATGTATATTATTATCAAACAAAAGAAGGGTGTTCGTGAGACCGCTGAAAAGTGCTTTCAAACTCAGTAATAAACATGATTTTATTTCATTACAGCTTAAATAGTATGGGCGGCAAGCATGCACGTGATTAAGTTTGTTTTGGTGTTGTTCTTTTGCTAGGGACCTAAGAAGGAATCGGATCAGTAGGATAGCGGAGGGCACGTTTGCGAAATTTTTCTCACTGGAGGAACTGTGAGTATTCAATTTGTGCCGAGTGTTTGGAATACAATTGCACGTCATTTTTTATTTTCCCTTAGTTTTGAAGCATGCCTGCGTGTTGTAGCTTGCTAGCAGAGTCTTTTGTGCGGTATTTCTATGTCTATAAAATACTCTCGCTAGAGTTTCAAAGGTTAAACACTATTGTGGTGGTGATTACTTGTGGTACTTTTTCACACCTGTCTAAAACAATAAACAACTCTTGTGATCGATTTCTGGTCTATTAACCCACGATGGGTATTCGTAGAACACGAGCTACTAGCGGTTGACCTATAAAATGCTCCATCGACTGTATCTCATCCCCTACATTAAATTGGATTATTATACCAATCAACGGATGGAAATTGAGTGACATTATATTGCTTTTGTAACATTTCCATTGCTTTGCTAACACAATTAAAGATACAATGTTTGACGACCTAAGAAGATACATGAAAAAGTTACTCAGTTCTGATTGGTTAAGATAAGTGTAATTCAATACAGAGAAGGGTTAACTCAGTGCAAAGAAGTAAATTGAAAAAATTTACTCATGCTTTTTTATTCCAAATTGTACTCGAAATCATGTGATTACCTACACAAAGCGCGAACAGTTATTTTCCAGCATATTGTGAAATAACGTCAGATTTTTTTTACTATAATGTAAACAATGTAAAAAATAAGGGAAACTCAGAGCTTGATAACTAGTAATAATTATATTTTTTTCATAGTTATCTTTCCATCAATGCGTTAAGCAATCTTCCACCGATTATATTTCAAGACCTGTCGAAGCTGCGAGTTCTGTAAGTACCCTCCGCCCAATATCTTTGATACCAGGTCGCACTAACGGAGCTAAATACACCTCATTGCAATTGTTATAATATAATAGCCCATTTCTGAGTCTCGTGAGTCATTTGAGAGATCTGGTGCCAAAATTAAGGCGTGAGAACAAGGCTGAATGCAAAGTTGCTCTCGATGGTGAGAAATTATGAAGCCGTTGAATTGAAAAATGGATACTTCGAGGGAGAAAACATTACTGAGAGAGAATTTTTCGAAACTAAACTTGGAAGAGTTTAGAAAATCATTTGCGAGAAGGAGGGATTCAGTTCAGTAATGTCGGTAATATAAAGGAAAACGAAAAGCAGAACAGCTCGATTTATGTGAGAAAGCTACTTTCGGCACTAGTTCTCTGACACATGCGGATAAGTCGGGAAATGGGCCATTTAACCGACAAAAAATTACCCTTTAAGTAGTAAAGGAAGTAATTTATTCAACTGTTATTGGTAAGGTAACTACTACAAGGAAGCGACTCCTAAACGATTCAATATATTACAAACTTAGTTTGGGATCACAACTGACTTGAACTTCAGTTAGCACCTATACAAATTCGCAGTAACCGCTTCCTCCAAAATCTCTACCGAAACTATTGATTGTAGGCAAGCTTCCACGGTCGAACACAATAATTAACTATTATCTACAGAAGTGGAGATAACCAGCGTACACTTAACGTCTGCTCCCAAGGACGCAGAAAGTTCTTCTTTATCGAGAGTCTTTTAGTTGTTTCACTGCTGAACACTTAGGTGAATAGTATCTACCACATAGAAACGAAAAAAATAGTTTATTTCTGTCAATATACCGAAAATGATCAGACATTTACTTCTTGACGCGAGATTCTGTCTCCTTTGCTACTCTGAGTGAAGAGATTAGCACATGCCAATCACCTTCGAAATAGCCAATCAGCGCGTGCGAAAATCATAATTTACCTGCCCGTTTCCTTATATACAATTAAAGGGCATCCTAGAAGATTCCGGTAACTTATATAATAATTATTCTTGTAGCTTTAAAACGGTATTGCTTCGCTTAAAGAATGTTTCAGAGGGTTCAAATATGTTTATGACAATGCCCCAGGGACTCAATCTGTATAGCTCCGCTTTACGTAGAACAATAATGTTATAATGTCTATGACGAATGGTGTACCAAACAGATAGGACAGTTAGCATGAGCTGAATTAGCGTTATTATTGTTGCATGTAATGTCGACCATGCTCCAAAGTACAGGTTGATATCATTCGGGATTGGGACCGTCTAATTTCCGAGTGGTTTTATGCGGAGCCTCATTTACATAGTTATAAGAATTCTAGGCATTACCAAGGTGTTTCCCACTGCTTGAAAAGGTAATGATTGTTGCGTAGCGAAGGTTTTCTTTTCTTTGAATGATTGTTTGCCATTGCAACATGCAAACGTTTTACAAACTGTAAGAGTAACACTATTCTCTTTTCCCAAAATCTACGGATGTTTGCGCTAACAGAAAATAGTTCTATTTTTCGATGAAAAATACGTAAAAAAGGGTTCTTTTATCACCCTTAATCAATTTATTCATGCATTAACTGGTTTTCACTGAAGCGGATATATTTACTGACGGATCATTCATTTGCTCATTTTGAAAGAAAGGTGGGAATCTTTAAGTTTCCTCACGTAGATCAAAAAGTTACAGAGGAGAAACTTTTCATATTACCTCAACCTATTTTCAAATTAAAAAACCTTTAGAACCAAAGGCAAATTCTTGTTTTGGCTTAAGTATGAGCATTTGACCGGTATGAATAATCCTACAATGCATTTAGTCTTAAATAATGGATTAATGATCCATTAAAGAGCTAAAGCAAAAGACTATATTTCTATGAGTGACTGAATAACTGTTATACGATTTCATGCACGTTAGTGAAAATGTTTAAATATTCCAGCCACGGTAATTATGATCGGATAGCATGACGCTTTTAACTGTGATAAAATGGTCATATGGAAGGTTTTCTTCCCCTTTCCTACAGGGATTAAGCTTGTCATAGTAAACTCCAACAGCAATTCGTTCGTTTATAGTAGACTGACTTGTAAGAGCTGCTCCCTTGTAGTACTAGTCATACTGATAGGATGCTCAATCGAACAATTTGGTTTTATATGATATTTATAGCCTAATAACTCGTATGTTAATCATTCTGAACAGAAATTAAGTAAACAAGACTTGGAAGACTCAAAAAAGGCAAAAATGTCATATTTCTTGAGCCTGGTTCAGATTACTGTTCAATTAAAAGGTTTTGCATGTAACAAAACATCAAGGAAAAAGCTTTTAAACAAAGAAAATATTTTTTAAAAGATTGTCTCTTCTTTTCAGAGATATCTCCTACAACAAAATCTCCACGCTGTCTAAACCCATCTTCGACAAGTTGCGAAGCTTAGAAACGCTGTAAGTGGACTCTAATGGTTGATGTTAATAAATTTATGTTTCGATTTTCATCTCCCAAAATTCTGGATATAACTCAACAGCAGAAAGACTCCAAAGGTGTAGTATATCATATCACGAAAAACGGTTTTAAACTTAACTATCAGACATTATAATCCCTGAAAGGGGAAGGCGTTTGCTTGTTTATGTAAATCTTTCAATAACATTGCTTTCCTCTGGAACCTTAGCTTCGAACTGGCAATGATCAGCTGAAACTGAATTGGATTTGTCTCTTGGTGCTAAAGATTTTGATTCCCTCGCTGTGATGTATAGATAGCTAGATGGTTTACCCTCTGCCGTAGTAATTTTTAGAAAATAATATGATTTTAATCTATCATTAATCTAATTCATTTCATCGTCAGCAAAAAGCACAGAAGTGCTCAAATGTCGAGCCCCCCCAACCCAAAGAGATATCAAGCTCCTCGTTTTTTATACTTTGCTATTAGCATTATTCTTGTTTTAATACACCTTGATGATGACCTAGTGTCGAAAATGTTTGGTTTGTTCTTTATAAATATTTTAACCCTGTAGATAGCTCATTTTTGATCCGCATTTTTAAATGGAACCAATGGACATTGTCATTATCTTTATTTTCATAATTATTACCGTAATTATTGGTATACGTAATAGGACTACGTGCTGTCCTATTTGGAAATAATTGGATGAAAAAAAATTCTGAGGACTGCCAAAATTGGACGGAGCCAAACGCCAAGTCCAATTTGGCTGTCAGAAGAATTTTTTTTAATCTAATTATTTCCAGATTGGACAGCATGTAGTCCTATTACTTATCAATTATATAGCTGGTCACTTTTAATACAGCCTTTTCAGGAAAACTACTATCCCTGAGAAAAGGCAGACTGAAATATTGAAAATTTTAATTATAACAAGTCTACAGAGCAGACGCTATGCTTTGCGTTGATTGACTTATTTCTATCACGTGTTGTTTTTGCTTGGATTTGATTGGCTGGGGTATACTGTTCTATTTTTCTTAAATAGGACAGCGTGTGAATTTGTATCTTTAAGTCCTCAGTGAAACTGTCCAGAATTAATCCTGCTGCGCTAACGATATTGGATTAACTGACCAGCTATATAGTTATTACAACTGATACTATCATTATTATTGTTTGACTTTTAGTACTATTAGAGTAGTAGTTTTAAAACCAAAGAGTAACACTTGAGCGTGCGTTCTGATCATCTGTGTAAGAGCATTACTCCAGAAAAGAACTGATGGTGGTAATGGTGACTAATATTTCGACATCTTAGTACCAGTGATAGTTCTTTTCAGGAAAAATTGTCACAGACGATTAGACAACTTGATAAAAAGTTATCATTATCATTATCCTTATCACTGTTATTGTCATCATCATTATAACTATCGTTTTCATTATCATCATTGTTTTACTATTGTCGTACAGTTTTGTTTGATTGTAAGACATGTTTTTGATAAGTGTCAATTATCATTTTTTTTCATAGCGTTCTTTCTCACAACGAAATTGTCGTGATACCTGCCAACGTCTTCAGCAGATTGAATAGTTTGAAAACTCTGTAAGTGTTGATTCATACATGCCAAAAACAGCTTACTCGTTATTTATGATTTCACTATAAAATAATGATTCACTAGTGTTTTAATTCTCTTACAAGCTTTGAAAATTTTTTAAAGGTATCTGGATAACAACAAGATTGAAAAAATCCAACCAAGCGCTTTTTCTGGGCTTAGAAACCTTAAAACCTTGTAAGTATTACACTATAAACCAAATGGATTGCTGGTACTCGAGTCTTGATCGCAGTTATGCCAAACAACGCAATGCATTCACAAAGAAATAGGTTATCAAAAAAGGAGATAAAACATCAGCGTTATGCATGATTTCCAAGGTTATTAGAATGCAACACGAGCCAGTTTGGAAAAAAATATAACAAATTCCGTTAACGAGGTATTTAACCGAGGTGGTTCTTCTCGCAAAAGAAAACTATTAAGACTTGAGATGAACAAATTTTTTTTGCCCTTCATGACAAAAAAATAAAAAAGGCTCCGATGCAAATCTCTTGTTGACTAAGACTGCATGATTATAAAAACCAGCCTGAGAAGGCTAGGCAGGAGCGAAATTTACGATACAAGATTAGCCATCAAAATTGAACTGAGATCAAAAAATTGCATAGAAGGACAACTTTAAGATTAACGTCTTCGTGGGTGATTAATTCTCTAAATTTGATCCCACACGTTTAAATACTTTGCAGTTTTAATCAAAGGAGACCATTCAAAAGATTGTTCCCCAACCTTTTCCCATAAATTCTACTCCTAGACATCTACAAAACAATTTCCTCGATCGTATGCCTCCAGAGACGTTCAGCTATCTTAAAAGTCTACGAAACTTGTAAGTACGGAATAAATTTTAGTTGCTTTCTTATTATGCAATAAGAGCAATCAACACCTCTCTTAAATTTTTCAATTTAACTTCGGATTCTTTGCTTATCAACAGCTTTGTGCGAATTGGACAATCAAATTGAATAATTTAAAGCCATAAACACGGTTACTTTGCTTAATCAGTGGCAACCAAGTCATAGGTTTAGACCTGGTTAGTTTTTGACGAAGAATTACATGTACTTTAATGACTCGCGCGACGTTAAAAATCATAGGATTGTTGATGCTCTGGTTATTTTACTAACAAAAAATGTGTGGTATTCCATCTCTTTCAAGGAGAATGGACAGTTTCTCCCTGTGTTGTTACGCTTCTCTTCACCTTGAGAAAGTAAGCTGTGAGTATCCAAAGCTGGAGGGTAACGCCTTGTCGAGTTGCAATCGCATGATCGATGCCTCTGGTCCTCGAAGGAGTATCTGGTTGCTGGGTATCCTGGCTGTTGTTGGTAACCTGGCAGTGATAGCATGGCGTCTCATCAGGCGTGACGACCATCCAGTTCAAACCTGCCTCCTGACCAATCTGGCTGTGGCTGATTTCCTTATGGGAGTGTATCTCATGATAATAGCTATTAAGGACCAGATATGGGCAGGTATTTACATATCATGTACATATTATGCAGTATTTTTAAGTACAGATGATAGAGAAGTAGACAAATGGACCTCGCAGGTGAGCTGCAATTGAAAAAAACGCCGAAAAATATCCTGAAAATATTTTCGAACAGTTATAGATTGTGCTTTAGAATCACAAGCTATGTTTTGAAAGTAGTACATTTTTGTAAATGCTTGACGATGGTGGCGATAAAGCTATATAGCGTCGGGTTCACCTTTAAATTGCGTCTTAAAGACGTGGAAGATGCTTGTAAATTCATTAAATTTTGAAAATAATCAGCAACATTCAGTTTCTCTAAAGCTGAATAACTGTGGAACAAAAAACTCCTTCGTAAAAAGTGCCAAAGTTAATCTTAGGAATTCTCCCGCTGACAAATTCATCAAACACTTTAAGGATTTCATTCGTAGATTTTAAATTGAACTTTTTGACCTTTACTTTAATTTTGTAACTCAAACGAAAAGAAGCACATATATCCTTTCATTTTAGGTACTTACTTCAGCTTCGATTTGATATGGCGGTCAGGAGTCCTCTGTAAAGTGGCCGGCGCCCTTTCGGTACTTTCAAGTGAGGTCTCGGTACTCATGCTCACTGTGATAACCGCTGACCGTCTGCTAAGTATTGTTTTTGCCTTCAGATGCTCACGTCTGACACTAAGAGGAACTTACATTATTTGTGCCGTGGTGTGGCTCTGCGGAAGTGCAATTGCCGTGGTACCGGCTTTTGATACTCCCTACTTTTTCAACGTGGACAGAAGATATGGGTTCTATGGTAAAAATTGTTGTGCTCTTAGTTACCTTAAAGTTATCATTTCAATTAGTTTGAAACCATGGGGCATTCCATAAGTTTACGCCTACATCTCCTTGTGTGAAACCAGAGCGTTTTCGTGTCTGTTATATCATGTCAATGAAGCTATGTAAGGGCGAAACAACTTCTGTTTTGAGAGGCTTCCTTCACTTGGTAGAAAAGATCTGTTGTCAACATAATGGTGGCTTAGCGCACCTTCTGTGCCTAAACAAACCACATCATCCTATATCATGATGTAGTCACATCCCCAAAGTAAACAATGCTTACTTCATGGACAACGGTATGATACTTGTAGTGGTTATAATTCTCTTCCCCCTTAAAGACTGGCTATGTATAAATAATAATGAAAAACTGTGTTAAATTCTGGGGCTAAAGTGTACGAAAAAAGGAGTTGGTGTTCACTCTAAAGGATGTCCCTCCCTTTCCAAGGTCGTTCCTCGGTATGTCTACCTCTTCAGTTGTCTTCAGAAAGACTGGCAGGCTGGGAATATTCTGTTGGCCTTTTTATTGGTTTGAATCTCGCAGCTTTCCTCTTCATCATGTTGGCGTACATTTCTATTATCGTGAAAGTGTCCAAGTCACAGAGAAGAGTCAAGGCTCACGGTGAATCTGAAGTGAGCTCGAACAGCATCAAAAGAGAGTCCGCGTTGGCAAGGAGGGTTTTCATAATCATCTTAACAGACTTTAGCTGCTGGATTCCTGTAATAATTCTGAGTATTCTTGCTCTAACGGGCAAATTTCACGATGAACAAGGTGTGGCGTATGTATGGTTTGCCGTCTTTGTTCTGCCGGTAAATTCCTCTGTGAATCCTGTACTCTACACTTTCTCGACTCCAAAGGTGAGGATGATATTTACCACTTTTCGCTTTTCAGTGGTATTTTTTTTCCACTGGGCCCAGAAAATTTGCAGTTCCTACGCCAATTAAGAGATATTAAACTAAAACTGTGGGCATTAAAGATGGTTACGTGTAGCTACTCTTCTTCTCATCATCTTCGTAGCCAATCTTTTGGTTTGCTTGGATTTATATAATTTGCATGATTATTCCTAATCGACTCTACGTCGAAATCACCAAAATCAGCAATTTTCTTTCTAATTTTGAGAGGTTTTAAAACTTTTTTTTAGGTAAGGACAGTCCTTGTAAGCTGGTTTTATCGCCTTGTGACTGGCTGTAAATGGTTCAGCTGCAAGAAACGATCTGATGGAATTGCTATATCTGGTAAGGGAAAGTTAAAACATTTTTTGAAGATTATATTGCTTGTTCCAAGATGAAAATGGTTCTAGTTATTGGATAATTTTTAATTTGAAGTAGAATCAGAGTATTCGTCGTACTTATTTTGTGGCTATGTCCCCTGGCAATGATTAAATGAAATGTTTATTTTAACTGAAGACCCAATTACCGTCTTTATTTGCGTCTATTTAGTACTGGCACGCTTCTTGACTTCTGGGAAACATTTTTTCGAGAAAAAAATTTTTCGGTGATTATCATAGCAATATAGGCGCAATCTTTCGTTTTAAAAACAGTCAAAACAAAGAGCACCACCAGGGTTGTGTTATCTATTATAAACGTAGAGAAAGTTTTATAAATAAAATCTTCGGTTTCATTTTATTTTTCTTTTAGTTTTTCGGTAGTATTTCTATGAGTTGACTATTAACATATGCACACTTCATTGAGGTAGATGGAGACGGAACACAACTCGACACCACGTGTTACAACAGTATCTCTTTAGACGTCACATCCAACTATCCTCCCAGCAACAACTGACTTCCTTTGGTGACAGTTAATACAGAAACGTGGAGATATTGATATGCGCTGATGGGGAACGATGAAGCCTTGTACATCCCTTTTTAAGAAATGTTAATACTCTTGATCGAAAATGGCATTTTTCAGTTTGCTTTCTGCCAGACACCATATATTAAACCTCTTTATTAGTTAGCTGAGTGCTCAACACTCATAGGTAATTTTTCTTATTAGCTGAATTTTTCAGAAACGTTCTGAAATTTATCAGAGGCTTAATAATTTAGACAGCGGCTACGAGAAAACCCGGTAGTGGTAATAATTCAACAACCCCCGATTTGGCTCCATTGTGGCACAAATGTTTGGTATCTTGAGCTAGGAACTGTAATTTTTGAACGCCGAAATAAAGTTAATTTCCTGGGAGATATGGGGTCCCCTGGAAAACCTCCACTTTATGCATTTTTTGAATAACTGTTTAGCTAAAGTCGCTTTGCTCCTGTGACAAACAGGGAAGCCATCTAAATATACTAGGTTATGTTCTATATCTGCTAGACTTCAAGCGCAATAAACTAATGAAAATTGTCCATTTTATTTCTTTCCCTACTCCCCCGTAATGTAAAGACAAATTTTCCTTTTTTGACAAAGTCCAAAATGAGGGTTTCTTAGCGCCCAATATCTCCACTGAGCAATCACTTCTGATCATCATTTCTACATGGGTAGTGAAAACCATTACTTAACTTCCAAAAACAGAAAAAAACTTTTAGGCAACTAGTCTCATTATCCGAGCATTATCACACTCTGCCAGGTTCCGCCTGCTTTTCTCATGAACACTCCCTAAACAAGTTATAGTAGTAGTCAATAATCACTGAATTACTACGAAGCAAGACAGGGTAAAGTAATAGTCTCAGTGTCGTTTATTTTAAGAGATTACCGTAACGTTTATCTGTGGTTTATTATTTGATCCAGACGGCATTAGACAACCCTGCATCAGATAGGGTCTAATTCTTAGTATTTCTTTCGCAAAACGCCAAAACATTAACTATTTATGTTATCAGTTCAATATTGGCCTCCTCAAAGGCAAGTGCGCTTGAAAAAGTAGTTTTGCGGCGTAGTATAAATTTTATACACGAAAAACAAAATTATTTATCACCTGGGGGAAGAGGGGGATGGAGAATTTTGTATGTGTCACGATGAAAATTTACTTATTACCCTCTTTGGCAGTTGCTGGGCTGTCAATTTCTATAGCCCCCCCTCCCTCGACATGTTGGCGAGGACTGATCCCCCCTACTTTCCCCTTGAAAACCATGTGACCCACCCAAAAAGAAAAATTGTCCACCTTCCCTCCGATGATAATTAATGACTAGTCCCTAAGTCGAGTTTAAATCTTGATAAGGCATCCTCAACCTAACGAAGTATACTAGGTCATTTACATCACCACATCATCGTGATCAGTTCAGATATGTAATTTGTGCCGAATTCGTCAAACTCTCTATTAAAGAATTCAGTGATAGCTTGAATTTTACAAACCTAGTTATAACCATTACCACTCGCACAAAATACTGAAGAAAACAGCATTTGATCCTTTTACAAAATTTGAATAAAGACGTGACAATTGTCATTTTTATCACAAAGGGACAGTTTTTTCTTTACATAGTGTGATAATTGTTGTAATAAAATGAACCGCGACATTTTTAATTAGGATGAGCGACAAGTTTTACTGCAAAGTGCGACTGCTTTTCATAACAAAGTACGAGAAATATTACCAAGTGAGGCGATTATTACAAAGATCGACAGAACATACAGCTGCAGCACAAATGACCTGGACTTACGTTTTAAACCCTGTCGAAAACGTGAAAAAACTGTACCAAGCTTCTTTATTAAGTCATGGTTTATTCAATTGATTTATAGATTCTTTACAGCGCTTCGGTTAACTCCCACTCGTAGCTACCAGCTTATTCGAAAGAACACACATGAAGCGTCTCGTTGTAAGCACGTAGAACATCGTCGTATATAGGGCGATTAAACACGTGCCGCATACATGTTTGTTCGGTTCGTTCGATAAAACTCGCCGTGTCTTGTATCACTCGGTACTTTTTTTTCCCTTCATGATAGAAGTCAACGACAGCTTTCAGAACGCTCCTCGAAAGATGGGGATTGCGTGGCGTGGCGTGGCGAGGTCAGAAACAAGTTATCTATGAAGAAAGCTATTTTTAGGTAATGAAATATTAATTTAATGCCTTTCCAAACCACCAGTTCAGGCGATGCGAACAACGATAAAAATGACAAAAAGCGAATATTATTTGAAAACGAAGTGATTAGTTGCAAGTCCGGAGATTCTTGAGATCCAGAACTGTTCGTGGCAAGCGTCTGAAAAAGCGGCTGTTTGGTTGATTAAGTGAAACAAATATGCAAAAAAATAACGTGTACAAACAAACATATATTCACTTTTAACCAAGCGCAACTACAAATTACATACACAGAATTAAAATCGAATGCAAAGCGAGGAGAATTTGCAGGTGGTTTTAATATGCTCTGTGATGATCAAAAACGTCACAAGTTCCTAAAAATTCGTTTTGATAACTCTCAGAACATGTAACAAGAGGGAGACAGCCTTTTCTCTTCAGTGTGCAGATGTGTTGAATTCCTCAAAGACTACACAAATCAGTGAGTTAAGCATTCATTTTGTCTTTCTTCACCAACCGGCGACGTGTTAATGGACAGGTGTAAAAGCAGAAGAATAATAAGCAAATTAAAAAACTAATTTACAGCGGGATAGACGCAGCGTCTTTTCCAGAAAGCCGAAGGTTGACAGTCCTTCGCATATCAGCGGCAACTAAAGCATAAGAAGCCAAAGAGAAGATTCTTACGACTGAAATGAACAACTCCACGACAAATCTTCAAATCGGCCAATCAGAGTGTTTTTCTGCTGTCCCTTCTACCGTCTTCACAGTCGCTCTTTCAGTGATCACTGTTGTAGCATTTTCAGGAAACTTCCTCCTAATTGCAGCCTTCCTCAGAGCTTCAAACCTGAAAACAAGTTCTAATTGGTACATTATCAACATGGCCATTTCGGATGTGATAAGCGTGCTCCTTAATTGGCCGCTCTATGCTACGGAAGGGATGTTAAAGCCTGGAGGAAGCTTAATTACTAATCAAGCAATCGCTACCTTTTTCTGCAAGTTGGGAATTTATTCTAGAGCTGTATTGTACGTGGTGTCGATTGAGAGCTTGGTGTTAATATCTGTGGATAGATTCATTGCGATTGTGTTTCCACTAAAGGCCATAAAGATCACTGCCAGGGTTCGGAAAATTCTTCTTCTTTTAAGCTGGCTTTTTCCTGTGTGTGGTGCCATACCATACTTTTATCATTCTAAAATCTTACTCGAAGGGAGACAGACGTTTTGTAGAAACTTTATGAACACGTTACTTTTTAAAGTGTATCAATTCGCAAGTTTCATTTTATTTTATTTTGCACCTCTGGTTGTACTATTAGTTGTTCATTATATTGGTTTTGAGCATCTAAAGAGGCGACTCGTGTTTGAAATCAGCAGTAATGAAGGCAGCACACATGCACTGAGATCCAAAGAAAACCAGAACATTTTGAAAATATTTCGAGCAGTGACTTTGGGATTTTTCATATGCTGGACGCCTCTTTATATTTATTTGATTCTAAAATCGTCACATCCAACAATTGTTCTGAATGACAAATGTCTTTTATTTATTGGTTTGTTATACTATGTATTTCCATTGATCAGTACAGCAGTCAACCCATTTATTCTGATTTCACTTAGTTCTAATTATCGTGCAGCCGTAAAAGACGTGCTCGCTAAATGTTTTGCTGTCTTTAAGTGTCGCAGCAACAAAATTTATAGTACAGAACAAGTCATAGACCTTCGATGATAGATAGATATAAAGTCGAAGGTAATTTGATGTGTTCTTGAACGGGAAAGGGTTTTGTTAAGTAAATAATAATAGCAAAAATGATAAAATAACAGACATGTTTTGCGCCTAAGAGCTCCGCTATTAACTTGGAGCTCATATGCACGACCGGATCCCTATACCTAAGAACATTTGGTCACGGCCGAACCAAAAATTATCATAAGTAGACGATGTATTATGTTAAACAAAGCGTAGGATATCAAACAAATTGTTGACTATCTTGTTATTTTTCAATAAAAACTTAGAGGGTTAAAATTCCTACAGATGGGCTAACAATATAGGGTAGAGTCGCATTTCACGACTGCATTGACTTTTATGGCATTGCATTTTCAGTAGAGTTACTAGAATGGGGTTACATATTTTTGAGATTTTAGGCGTAAGAAAATTATGGCAAGTAAGGATGCATAAACAGGAAAATTTATGGTTAAAAAGTTGTTACCTTATTAAATATTTAATAAACGGCTCCAATTCCATTCCAGTCTTGCTCAAAAGCGGACAAAGATGCGTTCTATAATTGGCCACAACATAGGCTAAAATACGGCAGAGGTTCTAAGCAAAAAATGACCCATGTAACCCCCCTCCCCGGGGGGTTTCCACCACATACTCAAGTACTATAATTTCTATACTTGCAATGGTTCTACTTTCTATCTTTCCTTTAACACCTTAGTTTACTGATAGCAACTTTACAAGTATATATCTCTTTAATACGTTATCCACGAGTTGGCCACAGGCGCCCTTTGATTACATTATATTAATAAGGTAGCACCACTTGTTGTTCAAAGAAAGCTCTTAAGTCCTACCCTTTTCATATTAATTCGTATCTCATTCAACCGTTCATCCTAAAAGCTGGCCACGTGCCTCTATGATTTGGTTTTTAGTTACCCTAACCGCTTCTTATTTGTTAAAAATTCCCCCTCCGTTAACTAATATTGATATTGGATTATAATTTTCTTCATTAATAAATGATCTAGTAATAATGCTGCAATTAATTTGTTTGAAAAAATTTTTTTTTTGTTTCACGGTTAATGTTCTCTCAGAGTTGGCCTGAGAACTGTTTTTCAGATACTGATATCAGTTCAAATAATCTGAAAAACAGTATCATAAGCTGTAAGGTGACTTTTACCAAAACTGACAGAAATGTGTGGAAATGTGAAAATGACTGTACAAATGACCGTAGATATCCCAAAAGGGACGAAACCTCCAAGAGAGGATTTACGATTAGCAGCGAAATGAGAGCAATGTGAGTTATAAGTTCTTGTTTAAGTCCGAAATAAGTTGCCTCATGTTTTCTAAAACCTTCCGTTCCATTCTGATCGAGATAGACCTAAAAATGAAAATCGAAATGCTGAAGAATACTTGTGTCCTAGACAAAGTTCATCTTTAATGTTTACTTCTCAAGAAAATCTGGGAGTAAAACCATCACTTTTTTCTCCATTAAAGATCGGGCAAACAAGAGGAAAACCAAGGAAATGGCATATCAAGAAAACGTTGATACAACTGTGGTGGAATCTAAATATGTCATGAACAGAACTTTTTTCCACGAAATGTAATTAATTGATTTTGTTTACTGATTTACGTACCTTACGAGATATATTCGTTTGTTGCTACATGATCTCCTCGGCCCACTAATGAACGAGATAAAAAGTTTGTAAACATACACTTTTTAAAAATTTCAAAGCTTTTTGTGACTCTGTATCACACCCTACATCAAACATAGGCATGTTAAAGCGTGCAAGAGTTAGTGATGTCTACATTTCTGCAAAGGAAAGAGTACTAACGCGGAAAAGAACGAAAATGTCGAATTAACCCACACACAGGTATACAGACTGCAGAATACAGAGTGCAGACCGGTTACAAAATGTAGACCAGGTAAAAATGTAGACTGCAGAGTGGGTACAAAGTGCAGACTGAGAATTTGAAGTTCTTCTTTTGTCTGGTATGCGATAACATGTCATCTTACAACTTATGACGTCAATGAAATAATCTCAAGAAATTTATTGTTTCACTGCAAGTTGAACTCATAATCTTCACGTCGAACGTCGAGGCAATTAAAGATGAGAGCAAGCAGCCATCCTCCATCACTGCTGGAGCTGTGTGAGTTTCATCAGAAGAAGCGAGCCACGTTGTTTAGTTCAAGAGTTTTTTCTGAAGTTGAAGACAGCAAAACAAGAACGACAACGACAAGAGAAAAATCAATACCAAACAAGAAGCAAAATTTCAGTGTTTGTTCCGTTCCAGCGGCGGCAGCAAAGGCAAGAAAAGAAGGGAAAAGTACATCTCTACACCTTCAATGTCAAGAAAAAAACCTTCATATGGCCTCTTTTTGCACAAACGCTTCGACAAATGTTCAGAATGAAGGTGGCATAGCTGTACTTTCATTCGGCAAGCCTAACCTCCAGAAAGTGAAGTACCAGATGCAACACCGACCAACTGCGATAGGAGCCGCGTACAATGGCATTATTCCGTCAATCCAGCGGCCCTCAGTAGCAATAGCTTTACCCACGATCAGACAAGGGACACACAACAGCCTGCCCGCGACCAGAGGCCGTCGATTTGGTCGTCAAGAAGTTTGTGACGAACCGGGTCGTCAAAGACGAAGACGACAAGGTGTTTGCGATAGCATAGATGGCACTCGGGTTGACAGAACCTTTGTGAGAGTTCTGAACAAACGATTTTAGTAAAAAAGAAGCGGGCAAACGTAGAACCGCCAAAACTGAGACAGTTCCATATATCTCAATTAACCGTATACGACAGTAACCATTTTTTGATCTTATTAAAGATAGAATGATTTGGTCCAGGAAATTTCCAAGTAATGTGAACTTTTTACGGGTTCGCTCTTTTATTTCCCTTTTGCAATTAAAATCGTTTACTTGTGACAAACGATCGTTTAATTAGCCCTGACAATTAATGATATTTGGGAGGTAGGTCATTTTTGCTTATTTTTCAAACTCTTACCTAAGATTCAGCCTTTATAGATAGTCATCTTTATTTTTGCGGACACTATGGACTGATAAGCGCGTGCTGTTTACTTGGGTAAAACATTTGTTTTTGATGATCACTAAATTTTATGGAGAATTAGCAATGTTGAGTCATTACTTCAGAGTGGCATCAGCGACATTTTGGTTGGAAATTTTTTTGTACTGAGTTTGTATGAGGTTTATGTAAGATTTGGCTCGATTTATTATCTATTTCGTTATATACTAGAAACAATACGAAATGTGTGTTCATACTTTGACAATAATCGATTAAAAGATTTACGAATTATGTGGACACTGTTTTTGAAATTTCTGAAGATAAAAAGAGTATTGTGTTAAAAATGATATAAAATAAGTCAACAATATGGAGTTTTCTCGTTTGTTCACTCATTTGCTATGTAGATGTAGAAATTGAATTTTTTGGTTAAATGTAAAAATTATTATTATTTTTAGTCGCTAGATCATTATTTGTTCAGCATTGGCGTTAGAACAATAATGTTCGTGTCATCACAGCGGCGTTTGGTCATCTCAAAAAACAAAAAAGCAAAAAACAAAAACAAAAAAAAAACACAAAATCTGCTCTCTTAGCTCTTCCATGGAACAGCGAGCCATGGCAAGCTCGAGGGATTATTTTATTTTAGCCATTAAAATACATATCTAACAATCCCCACCCGCAAAATAGCGAAGCTAATCGAAGGAAACAAACACCAAAATAAATTCTTCAATTTAATAACAAGTTTGATTGAACATATACACGAACACTGAAAAACAGTACGATAAGTGATAGATAAGCCAATTAGGTATTATATTACAACTGGAATAAAATTGCTCGCAAAAAAAAAAACCACAACAACAACAACACCAAATGAAGCTAAAAAAAATGTAATGCAATGAACGAAAGCTATAAAACAACTGACCAAACTCCGTCAAACAAAAAAAAAAACGCCCACGTCATGCAGTTTTCTAATGTCAAGGTTAGAGTTCTTTGACGTGATTGGCTAATTCGTGAAATCACGAGCGCCACGCGTGAACACAAGAGAATAAAAAGGGGAAAGAGAGGGGAAAAATTGTAATTTGTAATCTGAAAACGGAAGAGCTTTTCTACAGACTCCTTGTTTTTCAACGGAGGCTGGCGCGATTTACGAAATGCGATTGTTAAGTTCGTCAGGAATTCGCGGGCTTTCACCAGGTAACATCTGTCGAGGGGACCCCAAGATCGATTTACTTGGAAGTTTGAAGTTTAGTCATTTCTATTAACTAGTAATCACAGCGTTCCGCGATGTAATGAGCTGATTTTTTCAGACCCACACCTGTACTTTTTCGTCTTAGTCCAATTATCATTTGCTTTATTTTTTAACTTTTTTTTTATTGTTAGCCGCATGGAATGTTAATTACGATAAACGTAAACGAACATTCTCCTATATGGCCTTCAGAGTAAAACTGTCCGTGAACAATGACTTATCTCCGTTTACATATTCAACAGCCGAGTGACTGAGATAAACCCATGAAAACGCGAACAATACAACCCTTACATTCTTTTAAATAACTAGTGTACGTCTTGAGGTCGGATTCTTCTTGAGAAGATTTTCGCAGTCTTATGAAAGATACTTTGAAGGAAAACAGACGGACAAAAACTCCGTGATGCCCAAAAGTAAACTAGACCTTGAAAACATGGCGTAAAGAAGCTGGGACAGTGGTTTTTAAATCTTGAAAATCAAGCACGCACTTTTTCAAGATTGACAAATGCAATCCACACTCATCTTTTAATCCTTTATGTTCTGGTTCCTTTCGTGTTCAGCGTTTCCTCTACTTTTGTTTTTTACCGCAGCTAGGTGTTACTTTGGGGCAGTTAATTTAAACCTCCAAACAGATAGAGGTACTCTTCACACGATTTCAGTACAACATTCTGCTCACAGGTTACGAGAACTGAAGAGCTTGTCAGTTAGAGCACAATACAAAACCAAGTTCTCCTGTCGTATTTACAAGGAAATGTATGGCATTCAGAAGGGAGAATAACTTCTTGGATCTTGGGAGTAAAAGGGTTAAAAAACATTCTTCGGTTACAAGTCTAAGCCAACTATCGTCGCAGTTTCTCCACGTTCCGTCATATCAACCTTTTCTGCGTTAACTCTCCGATGAATTTGTGCCTTCTATGTCGCTATTAGTTCTAGTGTTCGTGTTTTGATCGTTTTCAGTTTTTAATCTATGGCTGTTTACAGCTTCGTCGCTTTTCCGGTTGGCCGAAGGTTTCTTTTCACCATTCATGAGGCCTGGCTTTCCTTGCTGAGTTTTGAGGCTCATTCCGTCCTCGAGTTTTTCTTCTGCCAACTGTGCAGCAAGCTGTTCTTCGTAGTCTTTGGCCAGCTGCTTACAAAACTTCTTGTGAGACTGCCAATGAAGCTTCTGGCATCTCACACTGCAGTAACCAACCTAAGAAAGAAACCGTGCGTAAAAATGTGCCTGCGGATCATACTTAAATAATCTGTAACGTTAAAATTAATCTGAATTATCGAGCATATAATAAAAAGTAAAACAACTTCAATGAATCAAAGATGTCGCAGGTCCAAACTAAATTAAAAAAAAAAAACGATCACTAAGCAAATGCTCCACAAGTGGCTCGTGCAGACGTTTTAGGAAGAAGACTCAAGGGTTTTCTTTCAGAATTTATAAATTGACATCTGGTTGCCATAGTCACTAGAACTATACGAGACGTTTCATGAGGTGTAGTGGATTACACGGCATATTTGGCGTTTTATTCCCCTAGAAAGATGAAATAGAGCAACGGTGATGAGTTCCCTGGCTCAGATTAGCCATTGTGGTTACTTGGTATTTGATTTAATGATACTCAGTCAAACTGCCCTCTCATATTCAACTCTATCTGTTATTCAAAGGGTATAATGAAGCTGGCAAGGAATGAACGTCACCTACCATTTTACATGCTGAGCATTTCTTCACATTCCGTTTCTCGATACAAACCACACAGCAGTCACTAAAGTCACCACTGCAGGGAATAAAGAACCAAAAGATTCGATACTTTCTCCTCAGTTTTACTTTCAAGTATAGAAAAGTGTAACGCCATAAGGCCACGAAAAACTTGATCTACTACACAGTACGACTTTTTTACGATTTTCCCGGAAAAAAAAGAGAAAGGACAATAAAATAATACTGTAACAGAAAATGCTTTACCAGCGGAGGCCATTTATGCTCTGAGTTATCACGGCGAGAGCTGTTGGATCACGCCCCTATATAAAAGAAGTAAAGAGAGAAAGATAGTGAAAAGAAATTCAGATTCCATCGCGGAATCGGACCTCGGACTTTTAGATCCACGCGCGTGACAAGACGAAGAAACATCTTTCTCCCATTTCTAAGCTACATTTTCTTTTTCTACCTTTTAAACCGGACAACTCGTACCAGTTTATCCAGTACCCCTACGACACAACCGCGCCTGTTATACCATTTTGTACCTGTCCATTTTTTGTAAGGCATTTTGCTCAGCGCTATCAGCAAAAAACAAACAAATAAATAAACAAAAAAAAAAACAAAGAAATAATTCAAGGTCAGTTACCTTCTCTACAGGTGCTATTGTTTGAACGAGCTGTTTGAAAATGGTACATTCTGGATAATCGAACTCTTTTATCGCTTGCCGTATAATATCTTCCATATTAATGAAAAAGCCATCGGATGAGCGCCCTTTTGTTAAGCTGTTAAGAGAAAATCATGAAATATCACATTTCTATCTTCCCAGTGACAGAGGACAAAGCTCACTTCATCTCCGCAAATCACTGTCATTTTAAAATACGGCCATGAGAATAAAGAAATAAAGAGTTTTGTTTTCCATTACACAGTAATCAATCAGTCAATCACCTTCAAAAATACGTTGGTCTTTAACCAGCCGAGAGGAATCAACTCTCGACTACATGAGTTATTTTCCACTGACTTCTAGATAGAAGGTGCTTAAAATGGTCTCATCAAATTTCTTGAACACTAATTCTTTGATTAATCAACACTGCCATACTTTCGTGTTTCTATGGAAAGTAGTATTTAACAACGCCCAATTATTTCTCAGCATGTTGGGTTCAAATCTTTGATGTACAGATGTACATATGGGTCTCATGGCAACATTACAGTTTCTCATAGAAACCCTTAATTTTTCATTTAGATCCCTACAACTAAGTAACGAGTTCCACACCCACAAACGTCAACACTTGTATGCAATTAGCTTATCAAGATTACATCTTTTGCAGAGTCTTAAAAATCTGCATGGACAGTACACAGACATATTTAAAAAATAAGGATGGCTATACAGCATTTCCAAGGATGCCTCTGCCTGCTTGCCAGTGAGAAAAAAAAATTTTATGGAGTAGCTTGAGTAGCCTTATATGTAAATGTACATGTACAACCTTTGACTGACACATAAATGAAGTCAAACATGGAAAGTTGTCAAAGTCAAAATTAAACAGAAATGGCGAAGCTCATGTTAACTCAAATCTCCTTTAAAATTCCTTTACTATATTATACATTCACTTTCTACTTACAATTTTATGAAGCCATCAATTCCACCTTTTCCCTCCAGTTTTTCGTTCCAGTGTGCACATTTTTTTAACATAAATCCCAGGTAGTGCATCTTCATGGCCAGCACTTCTTGCATCTCCTTTGACTTAATCTTTGACTCTGTTAGGAGCTCCATAACTTTAACTAAACTCTTGTAGTTCTTAACAAGTTCAAAGTTATCTTGCAGATACATAGCAATCTGTCACCAAGAACAAGGAAATACAACTATGAGTGTCATTTATTGAGTTAATCTGTACCCTGGAGGCAAGCTAAGAGTTTAAATGTAAGGTGCACATCAGCAATGGCTGGCACAGAGCTAAAAATTTTTAAAAGTAAAATTGGCTGTGGATAGTTCTATTAATGGTTGCTTTGTAACAAAGAGCAAAACACCTATGGCTATTTTTGTCCTGAACTATTCAAATTAGAACCCAGAAAACAATCAAACTTGTCAAGATCTTAAGAAAATTACCTTCACTGGGCATAAATTTTGACTGACAGCAAACTTGTGGAGTGCTGGTACCAAGGCCACTGATAGCTTGGGTTCTTTTTCTAGGCCTGTAAATAAACTACTATTAAATAATATGGTACATATCTAGTAGATGGCTCACATCCAACTCATACTACATGTATCATTACATATAATTTTCATAAATTCAAAATTTCTCTTATATCAGTCAGGAAGTGTTTTGGTGCCTGTTTCAAAGTCTGTGAATGAAGGGATCCCCCACAATTAACAGGGCTGCTTAGCACTTATCTCTTAATAGTAACTGTATACATTCATAAAGTCAAAGGAAGATGTTAAAAAAAGCAACCAATGTTCTCCTTTTTATTTAGAAATAACTTTCTGCCTCTAATTACCAACCATCTTCAAAAAAAAAAAAAACCATCATCAAAAAAGTTGTCAATTCAACAGTAAAAAACTTACTGCTACTGCTGGCAACAACACACTACACTACTGCTTCTGTAGAGGCCTAACTAGCTATGTTTATTAATGAATTAAATTACACTGAAATCCAGATTTAACCTTGAGGCTTTGTGTAATACCCCAAATCATCCACTGACAGGAAGTTGTTAATAAGACTGACACATTCACTTTGACCTACATAGGAGAAAAAATTGAGAAGGTAAAATAAAAATAAATGATCAACTCATTTGGTGAGGATAAAAAAAGATAAAGATACCTGTTCATAATAAGAAAGTTCATTCCTATACATATGACATAACAGTAAAAAAGGGAAATCATCATGAAATGTTTATACTGTAGGCATGTTGTTTTATTGGTTGATTAAATGCAAGACACTGTCAAGTTTCCTCTTACTTTAAGCTGTCACAATGGAATATCTTGACTGGTACATGCAAAATTGATTTCAAAATTTCGCACAAAGATGAACAAAATTCATGCATATCAATCTCACTGCTTTAATTTAAACAACAGATTATTATTGTTTTTACCAATGAAAGCTCCCAGCTGAGCAGCTGTTCTCCCAAGACTGTTTTCTGCATTAACCCTCGCTCCAGCTTCAAGCAATACCCTTGTAGCATCTACAGACCCTACAGTTATAAAGTAATAGGTAATATAAATTCCTTGATAAATGATACATTCCTACATACACAAATTGAAGTTATCTACAATTCAGCCACTGACTCAGAAGAGAACTAAAGTTTCTGATACATACCTGAGAGACAACCAAACATGAGAGCTGTGTACTGCCATGAAAAAGAAAATGTAAAAATAATCCTCTTAAGTTAACAATGCTAACATTATTTTTTAACTGTTGCAACTTCCCTGCAGCTTTTAAGGACTACAGGTGTATTGTACATGGATTCATAGAAATATATATTGTAATCAGGACCTATGCCTGCTTAGTTCAATTGTTTGGGATCCATACAGCAAAAGGGAGGTTACCAGTAGTTTGGTACCCACATTGGTTTCAAACCCAGTTGTTTCATACCCAGCTGGGCCATTTCATACCCAGTGAGTCGAGTCATTTGGTTCCATATTAATTATGTTAAAGTAACATTTTGTTATAATAAATGAGTTTATTGGTCCATTCTTGTTAAGAAGGTCACAGGTGTATACACATCAGAATTTTTTTGGTACCTAACTTGCTTAGCTTCACCAACTTGTCCTATACAACATCTACTGAATGACTAAACTTCCAAGAAAAAATGCTTTTTCACTTGTTTGTACACTGCAAGCTTCTTTGCACGACACCAACAGAGTAGTTAAGTAAAAAGTTCCCAGAGAAAAAAGACACACAGAAAAGTGCAACAGCCATTGTAGCAACAAATCAGTATCAATGTCATCAACTTTATGCATTATATTCTTTTTTCCTTCATTTACATTTCTTGTCGATAGAAATCAAATAACAGCTGTACATTCTAAGGAAAACGGTAAAACAAGAACATAATCTGTTAAGAAGAGGTTAGTTTGAACAGATCTACAGTTTGAACTTTTCAGAGGAAAACTTAGAATGATGTAGTCTGATTTAATTACCTGTTGTTCATGGTGGTTAGAGTTCACATCTGCTCCTTGAGCTATCAGCAGCTCACACATTTCTGCTTTGCCTTTGTATGCCGCACACATCAGTGGGGTCATGCCATGCTGTTAATAAAAAGGTTAGAGGAAAAGAAATAAAAAAGAACTTAAAAAAAAATTGGTGGACATATTTATGATGAGTGAAAACAAATCATATCGAGTCGAATACCATTTTCCGAGAAAATGTCGGTCTACCAATAAAAAAAAAAGATGGCAGGTTTGCTAACAAGAATAAAACTGTTTCTATATCAGCTTTGAAATCAGCTGCACTGAAAAAAAAAACCAAACAAACAAACACACAATCAAACAAACAACAACCTCAAAAATTCGAAGAAATACAACAAAGAGCAAATCGGGTCATTCGGATTTGGTCATGCTAGCATTAAAAGTCCATTAATTTAATATACATAAATAAGATACGAATATAAAAACCTATTCAGATCCTAAATTCAGCAATTTAAGGCTGATTAAATTTTCGAATTATAGTTCGAGGAGCTGAGAACCGATAAGCACTTAATTATTAATTTTTTTTCGTTTCACCTCATCTAAACAGTCGATCCTCACACTTCCTGAACGCAAGAGCCTTGAAGCCTCCTCAAAATCACCTTAAAATAACAGAAAATACAACCCCTAGATGAAATAATAATTTTTAAATATCCATTAATGAAGAGGTAGTCTCTTTACCTTTGTTGAGATGTGAAAACAAAGATTTTTCGTCCTCCGTCAATTCGCCTAGCTTCGCCATTTCTGCTTAATTTTGACTTTGACAACTTTCCATGATTACTTCATTTATGTATCAGTCAAAGGTCGTCCAAAAAAGGTCCGCTGATCAATGTGAGCCTAGGCTCAAGTGAAAACAAGATGGCGGACGAAGTGAGCTTCAAAAATAACGAAGGTGAGTATTATATAACTTTTTTCTGAGCTTAGATCGGCAGATGCCATACAAGAGTATCATGATTACTTAATTTGATCTGGTTCTGTTAAAAAAATTCTGAAATTCGGTTTTAACACTAAAATGTTAATGAGCCATACTGCCCACGTGAACATCTCAGAGTGGCACGTATATCCGCCAAGTTTTTTGTAACATTTTAGAGATAAGCTAAGTCTGTGTAACCTTCTACCTTAATGCGATTTCAACTATAAGGCAGATCTGTCCCATTTTACGCAACGTATCCGAGATAAAAATTGAAAGCAACCACAAGAATAACGGAACAAGTAAAGGAAAATGACACCTCATGCGATACATGAGTGCGCTTATAGAATATATATATGAAAATCATAGGGAAAAGAATTTTTATCCTGAGCTAAGAATTTTTCCATACTAGCAGATAGTGGTAGTGAAAGTGATGACGAGTGGGAAGAGATGGACGAAGAAGAACAAGACAGCGCTATCGTTTGCCTGTTCTGTAAAGAGTGCTTTAAAACTGCTGAAATGGTCTGGAACCACTGTGTCTCAGCTCATGGTTTTGATCTGTCAAAGATAAAGAGGATGCATGGTAAGTTACTTTCAATTGCAATTTTTTAGAAGTGAAAATTAAAAGTGATCTCAAATGAGTAAGATTAAAATACATTTGCTTTCATTATTGCTAGGACTAGACTTTTATGGATGCATCAAGATTATAAATTACATCAGGAAGCTGGTAATGTATATTTATATTTATTTGGAAGCTATGGGCATTTCATATCTTTCTTGCTTAAGACTGTCTATTAATGACATTTTGTCACAACAGTGTTCTGCTTTTCATATTCAGGCAGTGATCAATAAAATTTACTGCTTTAGTATCAAAGGTACCTCTTATTGCCTTCTAAATTGATATTCTTTGAAAATTAAACTGGTAAAATGATTTCAATACTTCTTTGCTCTTGTGGGTACCTTTCATGCTTAAACTGTTACAAGACCTGTGACCTGTCTTGTACATGTATCTTAAATTAAGTGTAACATTTTATTAACAATCCATGGAATTATATGAAACATGGATCATCTGACTGTGCCTTACAGCTTTTTCTGCCCACTGTTCACATCAATTTGCATACAGTCCTGATATGGAGATTTTTGTCTGTACAATGTTTTCAATAAAATCAGAGTAGGATAAGCTTGTTACTATTTGAGATCATAGTAGAATGACAAACTTCCAATGACTACCCCTTTTCTCTCTCTCTCTCTCTCTCTCTCTCTCTGTTAGCTCAATTGTGGATACATGTACTTTAATAATCATGCATATTTATTTTAAATTTTTATTTTCTTGAGAAACCTTCCCCTGAAAGTTTTGAAAATGTTGCTCTTCCTTTGCCATGGGAAAGTGATGAATTTTTACAGCCAGCTCTCCCTAATGATGAACTTCTTCAATATGGTATGTCAGAGCTACAATCTTTTTAGCTAAAACTACATATTTCAAGTCAGTACTCTTTATTTAATCAGCCAATCAGTTAGACGGTCTGCTAGATGATGCAAGTTAATCAGTTGTGTACCCTCAGCCAGCAGCCACCAACATGTAGACAACCCAGCCAACAAACTTTTCTGTCATTTGGCCAATCAGTCAGTTGGTGGTTTAGTCAATCAATCAGCAAGTGTTGGCACATTCAATCCTTTAATTAATTGATAATCTGAAACACTCACTGCAGAGATCCCAACTCCTGTAATCTGTTATCAGTAATCTGGAGATGAAATGTTGTTGATGACATCCTCTTCCTTGTCTCTATTCACAAACCAAAGCCACTAAAAAGGACTTTAACATAACATGTAATCCAATTTGGAAGAAGAGAAAAAAATTACAAAAATACAAGCATCCTTGATTATGAAATTTTCCAAAAGAGGAGATCCTATCTTTAATTTAGTTGATTTTCCCTCTTTTGTAGAAAAACTAAAGCAATAAACATAGTTAATTAAATAAGAAGGCTGAGTTAAGGGTATTGCAGCCTAGAAGATTTCTTTGTATTGGTGGATAATTAACAACTATTCACCAAAGTGGAGGTGAATTGTGGTGGATACTTACCAAGCTGCAAAGAGGTGAAGTAAATTTCTGCCACTTTCCCCACCTCCGAGGTGAATAATTGTTTAAGTACAAACCACACAGATACCAAAAAATTAGTTCATTTCTTTCAATATTCTGAAAAATTGTCAGAAATTAAACTCTTGATGCACAATTGTGTTTCTTTGCTGCTTGGAGGTGACTACAGTTGCAGTACTTGCTATTCTATTCTGGTGTGTGGTTTATACTTCTATTGGATAAATACATGTAGGGTCCATAGCGGCCATACATGATAGTGAGCTGGGATCCCCTCATTAAAGGTGTAATATAAACATTGTATTACTGTAATTGAAGATGTTAAGAGTTAACCTTCAGCTGTTTTTGAAATGCACAGTAGGTTTACTTAATTTTTCATAGTGAAACATTTTTTGTTAAATTTGTAGATTTTGATGATGACTCTGATGTTGAAGTTGACAGTAATGCTGATGCAGCTAACAACCAAGAAGGTACTGCCCCAACTAAGTTACCATCAATACACCACTGATACAAACATTTAGACTCACAGTTATTTAACTATTCATGTTGGAAACATTAAATGTTGCAACATGAATAATTATAACAAAAGTTAGTGTAATAATTCTTGCACTAATAAAAATGATTGTCATGATGATAATGATGATGAAAGTGGCAATATAAACAGAATTCATTCGTCAAGGAAAAATTCATATCCACTAGTGTGCATGAATTTTGTAATTTTGTATTCAAGAATCAAGGGAAAGTTATCTTATCTCAGTTCTTAGGAAAAGTCACCCCCTTTTAAAATTGCTTTACAACTTTTTTTAGGAAAGGCTTGGGAATAAGGAAAGATATAATTAAACACCAATTCAGTTTGAAAAGTATGAATTATGAAGGAAGGATTCCTACCTTTTTTGATCTTAATATGCATGAACAAAGTAATAGCCTTTCCTTATCAATGTTCTCAACAATAACTTAAATTTATTTTAATTTTTTTCTAACATGCAGCCAGTGTACCTTATTCAAAATATCTGGAGATAAAACAAAGGTAACTAATTTTATTGGTGCTGATGATTTCACTAAGTATATACAGTGTTCTTCATTATTTTGAGCTCAAGAGGTAAAATAAGTTTCAAATCAGTAGAGCAATCCTTTTAGCTGTTGAATTTCAAGAAAATATTAAGTGATTTAAGGCAGTAATAAGAGGAACTACAGGTGGTAAAATTGAAGGGTTACTGCCTGAAAAGGAGAACAACATATAGACTGAGTTGTTTCTATTTATATAACTGACCACTCTTACCTTATGCTTAAATCTTTCAAATTAATCTTCTAAGATTGAGCCTTGCTGAAAAAGTAAGGGAGCGTCCCCATTCACCGGGTTGTATTTTTGCCTAGACACTGGCACAGTATGTTAGGATCTATATATTGCCGCTCGGACCCCACCCCTCCCTTGAGATATTTCCTTTCTACACCCTAATGATAATTTCAAATCAAATTTCAAATTTCAAATTTTTGTGATGTGCAGTTTATAACGACTTTATATCCTGAGACAAAATATGAAATGCACATTTACCTATAAACCTGAATGAATTAGAGAATCCCTCTTTCAAAACGTGAAACATATATGTTAATCCTTAATTTAAGAAATTTTCCATTTGAGGCTTCATCAACTGGAGAACCGTGCTTATTGCGCTGAGGCAAATCTGGCCAGAGCATTGGAAGAAATTTGCCAGCTAAGGTACATGTAACATCGAAAGTTAAGTCTTCTCCTTAATACATTCATTGTGAGTTGAGCTGCCTGCATACAAGTTCCAACTTTCTAGTATTAAGGGAGGGCCATTTAATGATTGGTATTCTGGTAGTTCTTAAATGCAGAGTCGCTTTTAATAGGAACATTTTGCATGAAGGACAGTATCGTAAGGGTATTGGATTATATTTGTTCCTCACTCCAGCTCGTGGAAGCTTATCAGGCATAATGTCTTACCGTGCCCATCTTTTGTTGAGACTCATTCGTCACAATTCACTCTGATTGTTTCATACACGTTTCTTACACTGACATACAGCCTTTGGCTTGACTGTTTTTTTCATAAAAAGTTCCTTTTCTATTTAGTTTCTGCATGTTATTTTCGCTTTCACGCGTATACATACGTAATGTTGCAGTTTTATATTTCGCATCTAACAAGTAAGAGCTTTCAAAGAAAACAAACAATAATAATAATAATAAGGCCAAACTTTTAATAGCTTGCGAGAAAGCCCTCGTTATAAGTGCTTCAATGCGTGGGTCTTTACGGCCGCGAGAAAGTTTGAGACCTTGAGGAACGCAAGCAGGGGAGAGGTGCTGGGAGAAGCACCTCATTATTAATGCTAGACCCTCGGCGGACATCTCCCCAGCCCGTCTCACATCTTTTCGCAGGCGGAGAAACGCGTGTCCGCTAGCACTATTAATGAAGCCCTGCTCGCAGTTAACCCTTTACACCCTAACATCATTATGCATATTCTCCTTACTGTTCTCCGTACATTTCTTAAGGTGCTAACAAGGAGAATTTGTTCAATTAAGAGCTTCTTTTGTAGGTGATCATTTCTTATATTCTCATAACCTTAAAGTATCATTCAGAAGTGATATTGTAGGGAGAAATTAGATGCTAGTCACTCTTAGGAATTAGGGTTAAAGTAAGCTTCTGAATGCTTTTTTCAAAGTTACGACCATTGCCTTACATTCCAGATCTGTTGCACAAAATGTTTTATTTGAAGATCAATCTGGTGGACAGAGTCGGTAAGTTACTTGAGAA